CAGGGTTGTCATTAAGAGCCGGGGGCCACGGATTTTCCCCGGCTACTAAGAGAGTGGCCCCTGGCTACTTTTATTGGAAAATAGAAGAAAAATAGAACCAAAAGAAATCTCTAGCCATTTGATTCCCCGCCTACTTGTTGTGTTTACCCGGCAACTTGAAATCTTAGTGACAACCCTACTGAGTGTGTAAAGCTGCCTCTCAGGAAAAAAAAAGCGCCCCATGGAAGCCCAGTTAAAACCGCAGGCGATTCATGCTATGTCCTACAATTGCTGCATATTTCTTTGCAACACCCTATCAGATGCCCTGAAGTTAATAAGAGTAAAACAGTTAAATAAATTTACCGCTGATGTTAAGTTAGATTGTAACATCTTAAACTCAATGGATTCTCTGTTCTCATAAACCGCATTCCAAGGCCACTGGTTGTCAGTTATATTAATCCCAACTTCTCTGGTATCACACTGACTAGGACCTGCATTGAAAACAGTCAAAACACAGAAAAGCACTGATCTACAGTTTACACTAAAAAGGAAAATAGTCATCATTAACAATGGTGCTTGGTGAGCCAGCGAATGTCTTACATGTTTCTGGCGTGATACTGATGCAAAAAAAAGAAAAAAAACTGCCGATTGAAGAAACAGGCTGTGGAAAAAGAGAAAATAAACATACACATAGAAAAGAAATTATACCCAAATTCGTTGTATCAGGCTGCAGGTTTGCAAACTTCGAATGGGTTTTTCTGTTCCGTCAATCATTTGAGTGAGGGTGGAGTTAATACAAATCACAATGCAACGCACTAGCCCAGCTTGGCCCGCAAAAACAAAATTGAGAATGACCCTAAACTGCTCAAGAATAGCGAAGGAAGTCGCGATGATAAGTGGAATTTTTGTTGAGGGCAGGAGGCAGACATTGCTTTATTCTTGCAAGAGAAAAGAATAAGAAAGAACACAAACAGCTTCGAAGAAAACTAGTCGATCATTGCCCGAAACAATGTGAAACAGGGTGATCACAAGCAGAGAACCTTGAAACAGAAGCAAACAAAGTGGATCGAAATGCACCAATCACAAGTAAACACATGTTTCCTAAGAGGTCCGCTAAGATGATTGACGTAACAGAAAAACCCAAAACTCCTTCAAAGTTTGCAAAACACGCAGCGCGATACAACGGATTTGGCTATAATGTCTGGTCATCATGAAGTTGCAGATTAGATTGTAAACAATATACACGTATTGACAACTTCAAGTATTCCCATCAAATTTGGGAAACTACATGTAAAACAGTACTGCTTCAATCACCTCTATTTTAACATGACTTGTGTGGTAGGAGCTTTCCGTTCTAATATTCGAAGAATTGTGTTATCAGCTCTTATTAAAGTAGATAATTTCTTCACAAAATACAATACATGTATATGAGCTTCTGTTACAAATGACTACATGAAATAATTCTATTTTTTTTAAAAAGTGTTTCCTTGTTTTACTTGTTGAGAGTCAGCCCAAAGATAAGTGAATGAATTGTGACTCTGTTTCACTTTGAAAATTTTTATCGCAAATTTCAAATAAAATTAATGTTGCATGAATTGGTGTAAGTGAGAATTACGGAATTCAATATAATGTTGTATGTTTTTTTTGTCTTTGAGAAGTGACAAAATTAAAGTATAAAACTTACATTTTACATTAACAACTGCAAGGCTTGTTGCAGGAGTACCATATCCATTATCAGCAGTACACTTGTACGATCCAAAATCTTCTCTTTTTACATTAACAAGATGAAGCTTGTGACCAGAGACATTAAACTCTGCTGCTGTTTCACCCTCTTTAGTCCAATTGACATTGGGGGTGGGGTCACCAGATGCATTGCATGTCAGTGTCAAATTTGTTCCAACAGTTGCACTTGACTGCCTTACAGGAAACTCAGTTATTCTTGGAGGCACTGAAACATAAATTAACAGTATTACACCCGTTGGTGCCTGTTGGTACACATGAAGATACTTACATGTATATAACTCAGTCTGTACAATGTATCTAAGTACATTAAAACCCTGTTTTATAACATGTTTTAGTGTGAGGTGCTGAATTCAACAAGCATGCAACAAAACATCTCACAAGGAGTATTTGTTATCAAAGTGTTTAAAATGAGTTAAATTATTAGCAAGGCAAATGTAACAGTAGGGAAAGTGCGACGAATTGGGAATGATATTGTAAAAAAAAAAAAAAAAGAAAACCTGTTACTTCCATTATAAAAATGCCAACACTCCCAGATTATCCTAAAGTCTCCCAAATCTCCCGTAAAATCAACTTTTGAGTCTTTCAATGCTTTACTTTGGAACATACCCCCAATTTTTCCCACAACACAAAAATGCCTCTAATTTTAAATTTCATAGTACACACTGTACAGTTTCTGGTGGCATTTTACACGTTTTTGATTATTGAGATCATTAATTTTGTCATTGCATTCATCGAGGCAACTGTTCATGGCCAGTGCCTTATTAAAGATTATTATTATTCGTTTAAAATATTTCTCCATTTCTGGTTGGCTAATTCTTCATAACCAGCTACTGTTGTTCAAATATGGAAGATGCTTGCCAATAACTGCAAAGATAACTCACTTCTACAGTTAATACAGAGAAAAAGGGGCAGCAAAAGGCACGGTAGCTCAGCTGTTTTGTTTGAGCTTGAGAAAATGGCAGAAAATTTCAAATGTTTTGCGAAGATGAAAACATACCCAAACTAATGCTTAAAAACATAACAAGAAAAAATACCAGTCAACGAATGAAAACTGCTATTTGAAGAATATCTGCCACAATAAACTTCCCTTTAAATAATGAATTTTCCAAGGAAAAGGCAATGAAGATAGGAATTTTACATCTATTCAGGTTGGAAAAACAATATTTATTTATTGGGTTTGGCTTTGTATGAAGAATTAGGCACATCTTGGTGGGTGAACCTACCAGCCCACACTGAAACATCCTCCTTAACCTACCTAACCCAGGGGGTTTCAACAAGCATCGACGACCAACGAAACACGTCGGTTATTTTGCTCAGAAATCAGCTACGTTTCTCCCCAAAAGAAGCAGTAACTAGTGCTTACAATGTCGTGAACAAAATTTTAGATTTCCAGAGGCTAGCACCTCTGTTACATATCATGAAAGCACAAATTATAATTATTATTAATAACGCACAGATTAAACTGGCCAGTTACGGCTTGTTTTCTGTTAGTAAAGACATGTAGAACTATAATGTAGGAGCTATTGAGAGGTGGTGTGTTGCTGTTAGTTGTTCATGCATGTACTGTAAATGCAACAATGATAACTTGAAAGACTGGGTAATGAACCTTTTTGCTTACCAGAAGAACAGCAATATACAGTCACATTGCAACTTTAAAGCTTGGCACATTCACACATAAAGCATCAAAATGAAGGATTTTCAAGGACCAAAAATCAATTTCAAGTACTTTCAAGGCCCCCTTAAATTCAAAGCGTCTTGACTTTGTCAGATTTATTATAAATCAGCTGCTGATTCCAGAGATGATTTTTAATTTTTTTGTATACACATAAAATCAAGTTATAATTCCAGAGATGATGTTATGTGTACATATAAAATCAGGCCATAATTTCAGAGATGATGTTATGTATACACATAAAATCAACTTATGATTCCAGATATGATGTTATGTTTACACATAAAATCAGGTTATG